ATGTATGGCACTAAGGTTAGGAGACCTTCATCGTCATAGTTTCACTGACTGCTGTGGTGGCACTTAGCAGTGCGTGTGTGTGTTTGTGTATGTGTGTGTGTATGCATGGTCTCTCTTCTAATGTTCCACTCATCATTTTAATGGAACCAGGCGTGTAAAGTTACAGCTGTCTATGATATTGTATTGATGTGTGATATATGTTGTAAGATAGAAGAGAAAATTTGGAAACTCTCAGTGTGGACAGAACTGATCTCTGCACAGTTTGAACAGCTGCTGAAACAAACTGTAGGACCAGAGTTTTTTACTCAACTGAGCAAGAGGAAAAGTCGGAAACTCCATCACTCGTTCTTTACATGCAACAGTACAACTGTGCTGAATGGACTGCAGTGTAAAAACACAAAGCTACTGTTGTAAGAGGTGTTGTTAAATGAATAAAACTGTGTTTATGCAAATGGGAATGTTGACTTTCATTGTCTTTTTAAAAAGATGCATATTAAATTTAAAGTATATTTTTTTGGGCTTTTTATGCCTTTATGGATAGTATAGTAGAGAGAGACAGGAAATGGGGAGGCAGAGAGAGGGGGAATGACATGCAGTAAAGGGCCGTCCAATGCGAGAGTCGAACCGGGGCCAACTCCAGCGAGGACTGTAGCCTATACATATGGGGCGCCTGCTCAACCCACTGCGCCACTCAATACCTGCCAAAAAAAGATGCATATTAAATTTAATCTGGCCTGTATTTGTAAAGTTATTTTCCTGTGGACCAAAGAACAAAGCAAATGGTCAACCAAAGAAACATTAACGCCTTCAGGCTCCAAGAGAGGTGATACAAAAAACCATGCACAGTTTGAAAAGTTGAGACCAAAACAAGTTGAGGATCCCTGAAATGTTGTAGCCCTGTCTGTTCCCACAGTGTGAGACATTTCTGTTCTGACTGAGGTGGAGCCTCCAGCTCAGGGAACAGCTCTCACAGCAAATTATGATGGAACACATTGATTATAGAGTGGAGGAACATGCAGGAGCTATTCTGGGACTGCACTGCACACATGCACACACACACAAACAGATGATTACTATGATTATTTTGTGTTGGTAACAGAATCTCCTGCAAAATAAACTCATAAACTCATTATTATCTGTCTATGAGTGTGTGTGTGTGTGTGTGTGTGTGTGTGTGTGTGTGTGTGTGTGTGTGTGCGAGGTGCACAAATCAATAATTTATATTTGCATTGGTTCAAGTGATCAAGTGACAAGTGTTAAATGATGAACCAACACCACTGTCCCCTTAGGTCTCTTCTGGTTTTATAATCCACTGGTTAGTTACTAATTAGTTCAGTCTGACCACTGTGACTAACCTCAGTCCTCTACCTGACAGGTATATGAGACTGACCTTCATCATCTGGACACAAACATGTGTCCTCTGTATCTATATTACAACTGTTAAGGATTTTCAGCTACTCTCAAGTAAAGAAATATTCCCAGACAGGCAATCATCAATCCCATCATTACCCTCTCTCATGATCAAAAACCCCAAGAGCAGCGTCCATGTGAGGTGGTTTGGACCAGAGGATGAACTCTGTGGAGTTTTTCTGGGAAGAAAACTGGGGCAGACCCAGAACATGCTGGAGGGATTATTTATCAGGTCTGGGAGGGACTCCTCCCCCAGGAGGAGCTGGATCATGCCTTGCCTTGCCTGCTGCCACCATGGATGAGTGAATATAGCTGCCATCAACAAGTTGTGATGATTGTCACTATGTTCACTCAGATGCAAATTAATTCTTTCAGCAACACGTGTGGGTTTATCTTCTTTGGGAAGTTGTAGTGCTGCCCTCCCTGGAGGCCCTCTCAGCCACCTTGGCCTCTCTGTTGTTGCTTGGTTCTGTCTCCATTGCAACACACTCTCCTCCTAGCTATTCTTTTTTATATTTAAGTAAATGTATCTTTTTTTTTTAAGTATATTTTTTGGGCTTTTGTGCCTTCATTGGACAGGATAGTATAGAGAGACAGGAAATGGGGAGGCAGAGAGAGGGGGATTAACATGCAGTAAAGGGCCATCCGATGTGGGATTCGAACCGGGGCCGACTGCAGTGAGGACTGTAGCCTATATAGGGCACCTGCTGAGACCACTGCGCCACTCAACGCCCCAAAATGTATCTTTTAAAAGTAGATGTGTTTCACTTCTTTCAGTGTTGTAGATGAAGTGTCTTCGTTTTCAGCCCCTTTTCTTACCTCATCTCCAGGTTTGGTGTCAGGCTAGCAGGGTAGTTGGTTTGCTCTTTGCTGTCTGTTAGGTTTAGATGGGTTGATATCTTCTCTTGTTGGTGATATAAAAGATACTTTCATTGCTTTGTTTCTTGCTTTTTCAATCTTTGTACCTTTATATCGCTTTTCATTGGTTTTTCGGTTTCCTCTGTTTCATTTTTTCACCCAAAAGTTGAGGACCTTTCAGGAGCTCATTTTGTCTATCTCTGTCTCTCTCTCTTTATCTGACTACTCTCTGACTGCTCTCTGTCTGCTCTCTATCTGCTTTCTGTCTGCGCTCTGACTGCTCTCTGCTGTCTTACTGCTCTCTGACTGCTCTCTGCTCTCTGACTGCTTTCTGTATGCTCTCTGACTGCTGTCTGCTTTCTGACTGTATTCTGACTGCACTCGACTGCTCTCTGACTGCTGTGTCTACTCTGACTGCACTTTGACTGCTCTCTGACTGCTTTCTGCTCTCTGACTGCTTTCTGTATGCTCTCTGTCTGCTCTCTGACTGCTGTGTCTACTCTGACTGCACTTTAACTGCTCTCTGACTGCTTTCTGTTCTCTGACTGCTTTCTGTATGCTCTCTGACTGCTCTGTCTGCTCTCTGACTGTTCTCTGGTTGTTTCAGTAAAGGGCTTCAGACATGTTCAGACATGTTGTCATCCTTTAAGGCTTTAAGGCCTCTGAAAGTAGATTTGAAGTAGAGAAGTGATTATGCATGAATTGTGTGTGTGTGTGTGTGTGTGTGTGTGTGTGTGTGTGTGTGTGTGTGTGTGTGTGTGTGTGTGGGAGGTGTGGGAGGCGTGTCTGGACCTGTGAGGCAGCATTGGTTGGATGGAAGTGGAGGATGAGTTGCAGCTCTCCGGTCATGTGCCTCATCCAGTCCTCTAAACCTCCTTTTACCTCTGTCTCCTGTGTCCCTTCATCCAGGGGCCCCTCCCTAATCACCTGTGTTTTCCTGAGAGGCCCCTGTGACTAATGCTGACTAACAATAACAGCCATAATTACAGTGACTCATGCACACTCACTCAGACACAGAGGAGACTGTGGATGTGGACGTGGCTCCGGGCCCTTCAGCCACCTGGGGGCCTCAGACAAACTCTGAGTTAGTCTGCAACTTACTTTGAGTTAATTATTTTACATTTGTTACGCATCAGTAAAAAACAAGGTTTTTGTTGTGACTCCAGATTATTAAACTGGTTTATGGTTCTGTTCAGTCTCTGACAGAACCTGATTCAGGTTAGAGAAAGATCCTGATATGGTTTCATCCACAAAAAGTTTACAACGTGCTTATTTACATTTAATCTAAACCTGTTTTACTAACCTGAACCAAAGAGCTGCTGCTGACTGAACCACAGACAGGACTCTGGATGTGAACCTGGTCTCTGGATGTGAACCTGGTCTCTGGATGAAAGCCTGGTCTCTGGATGTGAACTCAGTCTCTGGTGCCACAGTCCATCCACCCACACCACCTCCTAGATACTCTGTTATTAAGATGTAAGACAGTATTAAGACTGTTATTAATGACTGTAGCTTCATTCATTCAGAAAAATAAGTTACCTCCGATCATGATCCAGATTAATTTTCTACAGGACATATCTGCTGCTGCAGTTCAGTTTCATCACCATGAACACCCATTGTAGTTGACTCCATCCTACACACATAAATTCTCACTTAATTAAAAAGAAATGCAGTGTTTGTTCTTTTGTGAGTAAAGTTAGATAAGAAGTACATCCATCTGTTTAAGAGCCCTTTAAAAAAAAAAAGAATCGTTAAACCATGAACCATCTGTAGTGATGTTAGTAGCTCTGTGGATGGTGGTCAGCTGGTTGCTACAGATTGAAATATTGATAGCTATTGATGGGTTTCCATGAAACTCTGTAGACCAGTTGTTCCCAAACCTTTTCATATCAAGGACCCTAAACGGACACAAATTAGACCACAGACCCCATCTGATCAGATTTTTGCTTTCAGATGTGTTATTACAGAGTTTATAGTGAAAATAAATTATTCCTGTTTTTGATGCAGGAGCCCTGGGGGTCCCTAGACCCCACCCCTTGACGGATCTTTGAGAACCATTGTTATAGACAGTCACATTTCATAATGACTGTGGCGACTCCCAAACTCTTCCTCAGCATTTAACAATTAGCTCAAATCCCCACTGTGGAGCCTTTGTGTTGACATCTTCACTATCCTGTGTTGTTTTGTGAAGTATTGAGAGGCCAACACATTGTTGGTTTGGGACTTTTTAGAGTAACAGCAGCCTATTCCTTTAAACCAGGTTCAGTTTTTCACTTCAGCCAAATTTTCCTTCTAAAACAGACTCTGTTCAGAGGGTGAGTTTTGAAACATCATGATGAAGAACATGGACCACTTCCTCTTTGTCTGTGTTTCAACCTTGGTGTTTGTGATGTTCAGCTCTTCTGTTCCCTCTGTGACTCTCAAACTCTGAACTGACTCTGATCCTCTTTCTCTGGTCTGAGGAAGAAATAGGGGAAAGCAAGGAGTGGGAGGAAGAGGAGTAAAAATGGACAGGATGAAGGGCTAAGTGCTTTGACGCAAGTGGGAGATGAGGCAGAGGAGAAAAGGGAGGGAAGCAGAGAGGGAGATGGAGGGAGACAGCCGGAGGAGGAGGGAGGGGTTGATTGTTTCTGGAGCTCTGGAGGTTTCATATTTCTCTTTTCTTTCGATTCTCTGCTCACATGCAGATTGAAACTCTTCCTGTCTTTTCCTCTCTCTCTTATTTTCCTTAGACTAGTGGGACTTTCTGCAGACTGGCCCATTCCAGCCAAGCCCCAGCATGTTGTAGGCATCTGCTACCGACAGGAAGACCGGAGAGAGAGCAACAAAGAGGAGAAGAGAAGAGATTGAAGGAGGGGATGGTGAGGGAAGGTAAGAGCTGCTGCATGTGTTCTTTATTTCAGACGGTGGAGGGAGAGAAGGAGGGGATCTCCAGTTTCTTCTGTGCTCAGTTTCTGTCGGGAAGACGTAACTGTGTCCCTCACAGCTACATGATACAGCATTTATATATTGTTTGAAGTCTCTTTCTCATTGTTGCCCTGGTGTGTGAGTGAGGAATACAGTATCTTTATTTTCAATCTCCTCTGTGAGGCTGAGAACTGGCTTTGCTGAGTTTACAGATCACTGAGGATGACGGCAGCTAGAGTCAGCTCACATCTTGGTCTCAGACAGTTCTCAGAGCAGCAGTATAATCCATGTCCCCTGTCCTCTGCTCTTCCAGTAATACTCTACACTTGCTCTTCTGTGCAGAGCTTTTGAGCTCTGAGAAGGCAATGACTTCTCTCACTTCCATGGTGGATGGAGAAAAGTAAAAGACTGAGAAGGTCATGACTTAAATGTCAGACCAGTGGGCAGCTGTGGTAGAAAATCACTGTGTGAATGTGAATGGATGACTGTGACCAGTGCTGTGAGGCTTTGAGCGGTTGATAAGAGCAGAATAAGTACAGTTCCCAACATGTTTCAGCTCGTGGTCTTCACCACTGAACTGAGAATAAAGCTATTTTTATACTGTGACTTTTCACCTCAAGATGAACACGTCACAGAAGCAGAGTATTTATTAACTTTGATGTGGTGACATTATGAACATACAGGTTACTGTTAGAGAGGTGGGTTATCCTGCTGAACTATTTTCATGTGGTTTATTCTGAGATCAGCTGTAAGGTCGGATTTGAGCTTTTCAGTAACAGATGAAACTGATGTGTAAACATGTTGTGCTCTGTTCCTCTGGTGGTCGAGTGAATAATTACTGTTGTCTGTCAGGAGCGATAGAGGAAGGTGAAGGTGCCACAGGACCTTCAGGAAGGTGCGTATGTGGGCTGACAGAGTCTTTGTACCTGTCTGTACATGATGATAATTTCCCGTAACCATGACTGATCATCCCCTAACATTAGATTCTTAAATAAAGTTAGGTCCTTTACAAGTGGTGATGGTCTTGAGAGACCCTGATGAGAACATCAGATCAATTACTGATCTGAACAGATGTCTGGAGGACTTACAAATGGTAGTCTTGTTTCAGGAGAAATCACACCTGCATTAACATACACACATACACATACACACACACACACACACACACACACACAGCTGCACACCTGGAAAGGAGTGTATGTGTGAGTGTGTACTTATTCAGTAGATATATAGATGTATTTAAGCAGATGTATTTCTCTCAGGTCCTGGTCTTCATCTGAGTGAGAGTCTGTCTCATCTTTTCCTTTATGACTGAGTGACACAGCCTGGTCTCTATGTGACCTAGTCTGACAGTGACTGCCTGTTTCTGTGGTCAAGCTGTGTCCTCTCAGTCTGTACACACACACATGAACACAATCTCGTACATGCACAGTCTAAACAGAGTACACGTGTCAGTGATCAGTTCAGCTACTGGATGTTATGTACGTGTATGTAGAGTACACATGTGTGAGATGTTAGGATCTGAGACTGATGTGGATCCTGAACCATATGTTGGACCTGGTCCTCTGTCAGTCCTGTACTGACTGTTGTATAAAACCCTGTACACTGTGTTTGTATTAAAGCATCTGACAGTGACTCATAGGTTCACATGTAGACTCTACTTTTACCTGAACGTTCATGTAAAAACCCTCTGCTATGAATAATATTTTGTTTTACATGGTTGTCACACATAAAAACTGGGTCTAAAGCTTCTACTCTTATTTCCTGATTGAGAAATCTGGATCAGGCCCTGCACACCACCTGCTTGCTCAAGGTTGACAGGTGAAAGAGCAGAGAGTATATAGATGGTTAGAGGAGAGAGACTTAGACACATGTTTGAGCCTCAGTCAGACACAGACTCAGATGAAGAGTCTGCTGTGACCAGAATCAGAGACTAGCAGACATATCAGAATGGTAAGCGGTTAGCTTGTAACTGGCAGTGGCTGACGCAGTGTTAGTGGTTGTGCTAATGCTAACTCTCTCTCTCTGTACTGACAAGATTTCAGGTTTATTTAGCCCCGCCCCCCGTCCCCACAAGTTGACAGTATTGGTTCCTTAGGTTTGTGACCTATGAAACCCTGGCTGTCTGAAATTGTTTTTAACATTTGTTCACTGCAGTTCAGGGTGGAAACACTCCGTCAGCTGGATCTCATCATATAGGCCACGCCCATTTTCCCCAATAATTATTTTCAGCAAAATGCAACTTACTTTTTTTAAGTCCTCATTGGCATTAAGTCCGATATACATGAAACTTGGCAGAGAGAATCTATCAATGCTCCTGATGAAAGGATTTGTATTCCTTCAAAAGATGCGCAAGTTACAATGGAAGAACTTCCTGTAGCTAGTGGTCAAAATGGGAAGTGTTGACTAATTTTGGGGAAAATATTGGTATTAAAACGAAACTTAAGACTTTGGTTTCTCATGTGACTGGGGGTGGGGGGTGGGGGTGGGGGTGCTAATTGGCCGCTAGGGGGCGTTACAAACCTGAAAACTTTAAATCGTGAAAATAGCTACGTGGATTTGTATGAAATTTGGTGTGCTTGTTCAAGATACATTCTTGAGTCCATGGTTAAAATTTGGTAATGATTGATCAGAACGGGCATGGCCTACCACAGAAAAACTTAAATTCCTTATGTTTCACCTTTACAACTTCAAAAATACAACAACAAAGTTTTCCTCAGACTTGTGCCATCTTGATGGGCAACCAGGGGCGAATGGCATGGGGGGCTCATACCTGCTTACAGGTCTAGTTATTATTAATAAGGTTAAAAACTTGATTTTCATTGGAGGGGATCTTTAAACTGTGGCTCATTTCTAAGGTTGTGTAACCACTGTTCCCACATTACCAACACACATTAATCAATTATAACTGACCACTGATCAGATGTTAGACTGACTTTATGATCAGTTTCATCATGTAGAGAATATGACACAGCATCAGACAAACATCCAGCTCAGTAATATTAGACCATACCTTAACCAGATTTCTAAAATTAAAACTGCACACATTTCCAGTTCAGTGGTCAATATATTATTAAACTATCCAATGTTATTACCCATGAAATAAAAAACAATGAAATGCAGCCCTGAAATAACTTTTAAAAACTCAGACACTTTACATGAGCACCAAGCTGAGGATGAGACGTGTCAGATCCATTTTACCAGTTTGCATGCCGGCGAACAGCTTACTGTTTCTCGACTGCCTCTGTGTCTGTACTCAGTCATGCAATGACATTGCTACTTGTTGTTGTGGGTATCTTCTGTCTGAACAGAAAGACAAAGTCGACTGGCACTGGAAGAGGTCAATCATCTTTGCATAAACTACATCAGTTCATACACAGCTTAAGAAAGTATTTTATTTGTCCTCGCCAGTCATATTTGGTATACATGACTAAGACATACTATGAAAATCCTTACTACGTCCACACTACTATGTTTTCGTTTGAAAACACTGTTTTCAAACGAAAACAAATTACATCCAAACGGGCAAATGATCTCCATTTTATTACACCTGAAAGACATACAATCATACCTGATGGCACAGCCACAGATGCAGTAGGAAGGAGAGAAATTGATGAAATGCTGAAAGAAGTGCTGCGGACAAAGTTGCTTTGTAGTTCACTTTGGACTTCTCATGATATTCATAACTCGTAATACTTAAATGAAAAAACCCTAATGATTGAAGTTTAAACATTTACATTCACCTTCAGAGCACCTTCATAAAAACTTTATACATTCGTAAACGTTCATAAACCAGGTTGATTTTGTTACACTAACAACATCAAACATTCCCAGTCCAGATATGACACACACACGCACAGAATGAAGAGAAGGTAGGTAGAAGGGTTCAGTATTTTACAGTCAGAGAGACCCCTCTGTAAATTTATTAGTGTAAATATAAAGCCTATAGACTATAGCATTGTCCCTGAAACATGTTTGAGCTGGTTTCCAAGGAGACTGTGTCCTGAATGGCAATTTTTAAAGGGCCCCTACTGTTTCAGGGTGCCAATAAAATCAGCAGCCAATTGTCAATAATCACTGCATCTGGGTATTAGTAGTTTGATGAGACATCAGACAGGCATTTAAAGGTATCATATATTCTCATTAACTAAATATAAATATGTCCGTTCTGTTTAAGTTCAAATGTCCAGACTTTATAACTTATAAACATGGGCATAAATAAATCCTTGGTTGTTTTCTCTAACCATGAAGGCCAGGACTGAAGTCAGTCCTGACACTGAGCACTAAAGTCACTGGGCTCAGTCTCACATGTGTTTGTGACTCACTCTGGTTTAAAGAAGCTGAAACAGCTGCAGCTGTAACATCTTCATGACCAATGAACAACTGCCTCTTTAAACTGAGGAACTCTATCAACTGCCTAAACTGTCAGTTCAACTTCATATTTCAGGTTTACTGAAAATGTTAACATTAACCTGTGTTCCGTTTTACTCAAATTTTAAAGCAGCAGAGGAAATTAAGCAGAACAAACAACAAATAATTCACAGTGCAGTGAAAGCAAGTGGAACATTTTAGAGCCAGACCAGGTTTCTTAGGGATTAGGATCCTGTACTACAACTGTCCAGCCACAGGCTGCTGTCTCCTACTGGTCTCACTGTTCCTCTGCACATCCAGTCAGCTCTCTGCTCATATACCTGCAACACACCTTGGCTCTGAATAGTAGTGTAAAGAAGAATCGCCGACCTTGGCCTGTTGGTGTAGACCGTGTCAGCTTCAGACAAACTGACATGAACCTTATGGAAGGTGAAAGAGTCAAAGTTTTTCATCATGTTCATGAGATGTGTGTTTGTCACTTAACAGCAGCCAACAAGTGTTACATTTTTAGGTTAAGTTTGATTTGATATCATTTACAGAGGAAACCCTGGAAGGGATGGAGTTATCACTGCTGGGTTTGTGTGTGTGTGTGT